GACATACCTTTCAGCTCCATTCATCTGTCATTATAAGGATTGTAGTTTAAACAAGAAAAATCCTTAACTTTGGTAGTACCGAAGCTACATATACCTTTCACAAATACAAAAGATTTCTTATAAGAACATTCATCGGTCGGTTTGTATGGCAGCTATATGCTACAGTGGCTCGATCTGAACAATTTCTTCGGAGATTGCATCATTGCCGAATTTCGGGAAGATATCCCGTCAAATGAAAAAATTTTCCATACAAGCACTTTATTCCGATCGTTCAGTTTGTATTGCAGTTATATGCTATAGTAGTCCGATATCGGTCGTTCCGACAAATGAGTAGCTTCTTGGTGAGAAAAGGACGAATGCAAAACTTCAGAACTGAGGGACTAGTTCGTATATATACAGATGGGCAGATGGACAGATGGACAGACGGACAAAATGACGTACATGGCTGAATTGACTCAAATTGTTACGCTGATCAATTATATATATACATTATAGGCTCTCTGACGTTTTATTGTGGATATTACAAACATCAGGCAAACTTAATATAACCTGTTCAGGGCATAAAAATACTTGAAAGCCTTAATATTTGATCTGAAGGTGCACTTTAATAATTAATTTTTTAGTTACATAAATTTAAAGCTTTCATAACTTCACAATAACTAATCGATAGTCTAGAAAAGTTATCGATAATGTAATCGATAGTTTGACACTTGGTCAGTAGCTTTTCCAATTTATCAATATTTTTATTATTTGGAAAAAATATCGATCATGTTGTCTACAATTTAAAATTTCTACTTTTTTAAATATTTAAAATATTAGTGGTTTTACTCGAGTTACATACCCGTCGAGGATAGACAGACCAGAAGGAAATCCTCTTGATTCATTTACCAATGCGTGATGATCGGGTATAAAAAACAACTAAATTCGGAATGTCGCCTCAACAACAAGCGCTGGGCAGATGAGTTGGTAAGTGTGACAAGTATTATGTTATTGTATGTGTATGTGTGTGTCACACGCATGGGCGAAGGATATGCTTGCATGAGCACATTCGCTTATGAGTAAAATGAAACATTGCTGCAATTTGGCAGCACTTTACCAACAGTCAATAATTTCTGCAAACACACATACGCATACACACATGCATATCTAAGTAGAGCCACTCAGCTCATGTACGAAGAGTCCAAGGCCTGCATGTTGACATGCGACGCTATGCCTCGGCTCTTAAGGATAATAGCTGGCATTTGGGCCACATATTGTCTTAGCCTCAGTCACAGTAGTGACAGTGTTGCCGCCGTTATGGAAGCGTTCCTTTCGAGCGTTAATGCAGCGCCAACAAGTTGTCATAATTTGCTGCGAATTATGCTCACTTTTAGTGCTCACACATTAGCAACATTATTAGCATCGTTGAGGAGTAGCATTTGGCAACTCTTTGTTCATCAACAACAGCAACAACACCGAGTTTTGCATCGCCACTGCCGTCGAACGGAACTGCAGCCCATTTGCGTGAGCGTCAAGCGGATGCGCCTGCAATGGCGAGGAAGCGCTGACGAGTGCGTCGAATTGTTGTCATCTCAACATTAAAAACTGTAATATAAAATAATTGTTTTCTATATATTGTACATATGTACATATTTTCTTGGCAGCATTCAAACATCACTTCGGACGACAATTAATTTTTGTAAGCAACGCAAATGATTACAATCCTGATGTCTTCTGCCGTAAAGCATTCCTTCGGCGCGCACATTAATGTGAATTGCCTTCCACTCTAATGAAAATGGGAAATTGACATTATCAAAACCAAAACACCAAACGTCAAAGTATTGGCATTAGTAATATGAAGCAGGCAGTCACGCAGCTCTTAGCATACAGTATTTCGACAGTGGACGACCAATTCAGTGCTGTTATTTGGACTCCCTCGGGTCTTATTGTGGCCGCTGAACAAACGCAATAAAAATTAGAAACATTTGTCAACATTTTCCTGCATCAACCGCACCTTGCTTGCCGGCTTGAGCGGAAAACCGCCCTCGGCCTCAAATTTTAAATATTTTTTTTTATCTTTTTTTCCTTCACTCATCATCTTTCCGCACTTTAGCTCATTGTCATCGCAAGATGTTTATCATTAAAAAAATCTGTTCAAATCAACGCTGGCGGTTATCATCACCCGCAAACAACCGTCATCACGCACAATTGCCACGTTTTATTTTATGAAATTGTACAAATACAAAAATTTATACGAAATTCCATCTAAATTGTAAACAACTCATAGACGTAAAGGCTGCTTCAAAAACGTCACGGGTTTCTCAATCGCAAGGATGCACTTAAAAAGTGATGCGTGTCTTTCAACACTCGAACTGTTGAATATCTAATTTTTATTGTTATCAACTTCATTTGTATAAGAAAATTTACATCATTTGGAATATTTGAACCTTTGCCATATCAATAAAGTTTATTTTAGAAACAAATAACACAAAATACTATGTATCCCACCTAAGAACTAAGTATTAAGAATGAAGTGTACCATATAAAGTTATTTAATAGGAGACGTAGCAGTATTTCCAGCAGCTTTCATTCCTCTACAAGCTAACTCTAAATATATTTGTACAATATATTGCTTCTAAATAATATCTTATATAATCTACTAACTTTTGGACTTCTAAGTCTTTAAATTATTTGTTTAGTTATCAGTAATTTAGCACAAGTAACCTTCAAGTACTTTTAAGTATTTAAAGCAGTGAAACTTTAAATTAACTAAACCATTCTAGTGAGTTACCAGAATCTTCCATTTTCTTGGTCATTAGCATAAGGGTAAAATTGTTGGAAACAAATTGTCATGTCTGAAGACTTCCCCACATGGAAAATTGAAACATAAACGACCTGTTATCGAATGGTAAAAATAGTTGGTTATTTTTTAAACCAAAAAAAAAAGCGTCAAAATGGCATATGCGGGAAATGTTTTACGGATCACTCTGAACAACTTTGCCTAAGGAAATATGGCTATAAAACCGGCTCCGAGCCAGCGATTTTTAAGACTAAGTTTATCTCTTTTAAGGGGATATTTTAATCTAAAGACATGAATTTTAGGTAATTTTTAAAGTGTTGAAAAAAAGGTAATCAATATTTTTATCATTGATTTCAGTTATTTATTAATGTTACAAGAGTACAAAAAAAAATTTAAAAAAAATTAAAAAAAAAATTGAAAAACTGGTAGCTGATGAAGTGGGGGTATCAAAAAATTGGCACATGAGCATACCCATGACTTCAACCCTTCTAGTCATCTTAAATGGAAAAATAAAGATTATTAATCTACAATGATGTCGCAATTGTATGAACTAGCGATAAGCAAAAAAAAAACGTTTGACAAAATGGCGACTGTTTGAAAAAAACACGATTTTTGTACCATTTTTTTATTTCCTCGTATTTTTTAAAAATAGTAAAAATTTAAACTTGGGGAAGAGGCTAGTTCATACTCGCGCGAAGTCTATAAAGAAGATTCTCTGAAAATTTCTAGTAAATCAGTCCAGTAGAACTCGAGAAATCGTGAGTATCGTATTGAAAAAGTCTGGTCTGAGGAAAACGCATTTAAAGTTTCGCGTAAAGTCTTTTGTTCGATTAGACCCAGCCGAACCAGTTTGGAGGCCGGGTCAGTAAAATGTCTTTATCTCAGAAAATATTTTAAATTTTCACAAAACTTTCTCATAAACATATTTTTAAATAGTTAAGCTTTGAAAGTATGAAAAAAAATAGATTTTTTTGAAATTCTACACTAGATTACTCTCTTAGGGATTTTAAAAATTTCTTCGTCAGTTTTCGGACAACTATATCACATATCTCCCATACAACCAATTATTTAGTTATTTGACTTTCCGGCTGCCTGCCTTTAATTAAACGGCTAAGAGCTTATCTTTTTGCTGAACTGTTCTTTAATACATACTTAACCATACAACCGATTGCTAAAAATTTTGTAGAAATAGAAATTAAATCAGAAGGCAATGCATTTTTATTTTCTTATTATTTTTCAATACTTAAATATTATAATATATGAATCATACAAGTTCCTTAGATGAATGGCAACTATTTCGAAATATTGCATATTTTTTATTCTGCTTCCGTAAAGTTTTCCAGTGAGAGTATCGTCTAGACTAGAACGACGAAGAAGGCGAGAATATCAGCTGAGATGACAGTCTGAGCGATGGCTAGATATGGATTTATTGGAAAACTCGAAATAAAACTGCAAAATTAAAATATTTAAAGCGACCAGCTAGACAGCACCCAGTAAAAACGCTGCGGCAGTTCAGTTACCTTAAATCCATAAATATTTTAGAACCTTGCCATGAATTCTCAGTTTCTTAGCTCTAATTACATCAATCCGGTTTTATTGCATGCTAAACTCGGATACAATTTTTTCTACGGTATTTTTCAACACCGGTGACTTCTCAACTATAAAAAAATGCAATTTTAAGGGTCTTTCTCCACGACGACATGTTAATGCTTCAATTGAAGTGGTATTTGGTTATTTTGGCGAGTATGTATTCTTTTACCGTTCGCTTATAAGAGAAAAGTGTATAGCGTATTGAGAAAATAGTTTTAAGGCTTCTCCGAACAACTGAAATAGCGAAAATACTAAATAAACTCAGATTCGATGAAGCAACAATCATTTTCGAAGAAAACATAAATTTCCATAGCGTTATCTGTTTGCCAAACCTGGTTTCATTGGTAGCGGAAAGCAGAGGCGTGAGGCAAACAGTTTTATTAATGAAATTCGTGTAATAACATATATAAGCTTACTGGATTATCTAACAATTTTCCTGTCGTAAACAAGACCTAAATTAGAAAACTTATCAATTGCTAAAGAAGATTGAATACTTCCTAGTAAAAAATAAATAAAAAATAAATAAATAATGTGAGCTGATGCCTACTGTAATGATTTACACTAAATAACTGATAAGCAAAGAAACGTACATATATAAGCGATGAACTGATAGCTATGCCACTAGGTTTTTCTTTGTCTCGATGCCTTACTCATACAATCTATATATTGGCACATAGTCACAGAGTGTAAATTCTAAAGCCAAGCAACATACGTGCCGCTTATCAGTTGAGCGCAGTCAGAGGTCACACTGCCTCATGCCGTTTCAGGCTTTGAGCGCATCGCAGTCTACACAAAATTCTCACTTATCACTTGGCAAACGGTCAAATCGATCAGCGAGCTCTCACTTGCGCTTAGTGAGACCTATTAATTGACTTCTGAAACGCTCGAAACTGTCTAGTTTCGTTCAGCATTTTGAAGCGAGTAGCATTTTAGGAAGGTGCGGATAAATGTCGCTTTTAAAGGTCTGCACATTTTTAGCAGCGATCTCGCTTGCCGTCGCCGATTCTATAGATTTTAAGACGTGCGGTGATGTCGATGCCTGCACCATACACGAGGTACGCGTCAATCCTTGCCCACAGGCTAGCGAGCATTTGGCATGCCATATACGTCGCCGCCGTCCGGCCACTATGTCCTTCGACTTCACGCCCAATTTCGCTGCGGAGACGTTGGAAGCCGGTCTGGCCTGGCAAAAGAGCGCCACACAGGATCTACCGTTGATCACCATGGACAAGGAGGCATGCAAGTACACGCCCTGTCCAACGATCGCCAATCAACGCCAGACATACACCATGGACGTGCCGATCGAAAGTAAATTCCCCATTAACCCCTACACCATCAAGTGGACCCTAAAAGCGCCCACTGGACAAGTTTGCTGCTTCACCATCGACATCAAAGTGGTACGTTAAGTCCAAGCTGAGGGGAGAGGGAAATTTAATTTTTAAACTTAATGAAATTGGAAAAGATATTAATTTTATAATTAAAATTTTACGTACGTAAACGGTAAAAATAAATTGGTCAATATTCATTTTAACTAATTGCATAAATTCTGATATTTTTGAGTCGACAGATGGAACAGAAAGATTTTAACTGCAAAATTAGAAGCGTGTGTTTGACAAATGGAAAATAGGAGATTTTCAACACAAGCTTATCAATCGCTCCACAAAAGTCATTAAAACTAAATAGGCAATTAAGGAGCAAATGGAATCGGAACACTTTTTTTGTTTTCGCTCGTTATTTATCTCCCAAAAATGCGATTAAGCTCTTTCAGGTCACTTGTAATTTAAAACTGGCATTAATTAGCAATTAGTGTAAGAGGTGAGTACAGGCAGATACCAAATATCTGGGGAGTGGAAAGCTCTAAAAGTGGCTTCGCGCAAATCTTGCCTATCTCAAAGAGATATAATTGGATATTTTTGCTTTATTTTTTCTCTGAAAATTACTAAACATCTGGGAAAAATTAAGTGAAAATAATTACAAACCGCACAATCGCTTTCTTATCAGCTTCGGCAGGCAATTAAAAGAAAGTAATAAACAATTCAAACACGAGTACAGCCATGGAAAGTGAATGACGAAAGTGACCATACAATTTATTTTGGTTGTGAATTATATAAAATGTTTTTTATAAACTTTCTTTGTTGCTCATTGGTTAAGCCCACTAAGTTGTTTCATCACATGATTTCTTTGGATTTATTTGAAACTTGAACTTGTATGTTTCTAGCTGAGCTGATAGAGCCTACACCTACACTAGACATATGTTAAGAAATATAAAATATAATGTGTGGTGTAAAGTGAATTATGACTAATTATTTGATTGTTTCAGGCACTTTTTAATATTTAAAAAATTATTCCAATACATATATAATTTATCGCTTATCCTTTGTTTCAAGAAGGGTCTAATATACGCTATTTTTTATCATACATTGATTTTATAATTGTAAGATTTTCGTAGTACAGCTCATAAAACACCGAACTATACATACTTGTATTTACAAACTCGACCGCAATGATTATAATAGAGCTTTTATTTGAAGATCGTTAATTCTTGTTACTAGCTGTGCACCGGAAAGCATCACAAAATTTAATTATCTACGCTTTAAGAATCTGAATGAATTCTTAAACCTTTATAACACATATGATAAAACCCTAATTTTGAGTAGAGTTCTTTTATTCTTTCCGGAAATATTTCGTTTGACCCCATTAATTACCAGACTCTTTCGCTTTGCTTCCTTATCCAATCTAGAGAAAACCTTGAATATTAGAATATCGTCTGCATACATTTTTGTGTGCCTTTCTTGAAGTATTAAACCATTCTAAGTAAAACTTTCACCATATTAGCCCCTCACTGCTGTATTAGAATAGCTTTGCCTGTAATTTTATTAACATTCGCAACTTCGTTTTTTCATTTTTTTTGTTACTCACGTTATTGTTTTGAACTTTGCCAACGTGATCTTTAAACCATGAATCGGGATCACCATATTCTCTATCACCATATTTTGGTTTTGTTTCCATTTGGAATATGCGAGTAAGAGATGACAAATCCTCGAACTCAGTAAAGAGGATATATTAAGTTTGCCATGAAGTTTGTAACACCCAGAAGAAAGTGTCGGAGACTCTATAAAATATAGATATAAGTGATCAGCATAGCGAGCCGAGTTAATTTAGATATGTCCGTCTGTCTATATATATGCGAGCTAATGCCTCAGTTTTTAAAACATTGATCTGAAATTTCACAAGTTCTTTCCCGCCTCAAGAAGCTGCGTATTTGTTGAAACCGCCAATATCGGATCACTATAGCATATAGCTGCCATACAAACTGAACGATCGGAATCAAGTACTTGTATGAAAAGTTCTTTCATTTGATGAGGTATTATCAAAAAACTTTGCTCGGATCATTGCCTAAGGCAATGATATAACCTCCAAAGAAATTGTTCAGATCGAGTCTGCATAAGTTAACGTTTTATTATATTTTACAAGTAAAGTAGTTCCTAATCTATGTATTAGTAAAAATAAAACATGCAAATAAGACAACCGTTTCTCTGCTTGAACAACAACAAACTTTTATTGATGTATAACTAATTACTTCATAATATTACGGTGTTCCTTAAAATTTCTTCAAATTAAGATTCCTGTAACCACATTTTGTGCAGTCCTAAACATCTTTTGCATATTAATTATTATTTTTTCGGGTTATTTACAAATTCCACCCAGCAAGGAGAGCAGGGAGTTATGGTGTGTTGACCGCTGTCGTCACCGAAAGAAGACATCCCTCCCCAGCCGACTCAACTTAACTGGATGCGCATTAATTTGCCGTAAGTTCATTAAATAATAAAACATTTGCTTTTGTTGCAATTTTTTTTTCAACCGCAGTGGTTTTTTTTTGTGCTTAATTTATGAGTTCGCTAGTGCAACCCGCCGCAGCGCTAGTGGCGCTAGAAAAGTATGATCCACAAATTTCTTTTTAATGAATTAATTTTGTTATTCGGTTTTGTTTGTTTAAAATATGCGGTGAGTTGGCAACAAAGCGATACACATACAAACAAACATACATAAATCGCATTAAAAGCGAATAAATATTCGAAGGCATAAAAAATAGGAGCTCGCGTATAATTTATGCCGGAATTATTCAAAAAAGTGGTTGAACTACTTTATTTTAATTTCTCTTCCTTTTTAGTGGGTTTCGGCGCGCTTGCTGCCCTATTGACACGCGACACGCGAGCGCATGAATTTTCATAAATTTTCTTTTTTTAGATTTTCTTTGTGTTTAATTCTCTTTTATGACAGATATTCATTTGCATTTTTTGTTGTTGATTAACAATCAATCGAAACTGTAAAAACTTGTTGGCTGGCTTGTGGCTTTTTTACATTCGCTAAGTTACTTGTGGACGCTCGAGGCTTTGGCTCATTTCGTAAACAATTCTAAACTTTTTTATAGTGCGGTAATTAATTACAAAAAAAAAGGCTATAAGCGAAATTTATCGATATAAATATTAATACTCTTGTCAAAAATTGTCAACTGAATTATGGAAATTTTGGTACTCGGAGCTTTCTGCAACCCCAATGGGTGGTAGTAGACAACTCTATTTTGGTCACCATGCCGACAAGCGCCCGATCTTATTCTCGCTTTGAGTTGCTTGCCTTGACGCTAATGGGCCAGTGGAGAAACCTAAACGAAATACTGATACATTTTTTTAAGAATCGTTCCCACTGCAACATTACGTAGGGTTCTTTGTTGTTTTGTATATTATTGAACAACCGGTACTAGTTACAAAAGAACACTCGCTAAAGTAGTAATTTTAACTTTTTTCGGATTCTGCGAGTTTGGTTACTAAAAATGTAATAAGAAATTTTGAGTAACCGAAACAAGAGTTTCTCATACACCAACAACAAAAATATGATGTAATTGTTGCACACGAGTTGTTGTTGTTGGTATTATTCTATGTAGATTTATCTGAACTGAACGCAATACTTGCTACTCACTTAGCAAAAAACATGCTTAGTACGAAGTATAATATAAGCTTGTTTAAGTCGAATACTATCGCTGCCGATTTCAGTAAAAACTGAACACCGGATTTAAAAATATCCACCCTTCTTAGCAATTTTTCTTCAAACGCAAAAATCGCTTCCGAAGTTTAAACGAAATACAAATACTTTTGCTGTGCGTTATCCGGCTGCTACGTAATCCCGCAGCCGCGCATGTTTTGACTGTGAAAAACATGTTTTGATTGTAAAATAATCTGAAATTTGTGCGTCCTCAGAGACCCGTTGCAAAGTTGCAAATTAGTGAAATATTAATTTATGCATTTTTTGTGATTTCGTAACGGCGCCTTAATTAATAAAGCAATTAAAAGTTTGTAGCGCACGTAAAAAACTGGTTGTTAATTAAGTAAAAATGTTTGTAATTAAGTCGTCCTTTCCACAGAAAAACTCTGGCAACGCCTTTCCTTTACACGATGCAATTAATACCTAATCAAATTCAATTTAAATTAGCTACAAATGCATTTCACGTCGGCGTTACCGTTTACATGCCACCAAATGAGGCATGCCACTAACTAAGAAGTCTACTGCTGCTTACAACCTAGGCTCCAGTGATTAGTGCGGGTATTTGTCAACCAACAAATGAGTTGCACCAATGAGCAAATCAACAACTACACCGCCTTGGGCACAACAACACAATTACCAACAACTCGCCGTATGACATCTTCGTTGCGTCAAAGGCAACATGTCTTAGCTCAAATGTGAGGCAAAGCATCTATGTATATGTGTGTATGAGTATGCATATTAGCATATTTCTAAGTACATACGAGCAACTATGAGTATTTTGCCCTTTGCACGAAGTGTGCCTGACAGCCAGCGACACATTTGTCAGTCTGTTGCCGCTCATGTTCTTGCAAGCGCCACATATGAACTCCTTCCCGGCATCGGATTCGAATTCTGTGCTGCAGAATTCCAGTGAATTGAATTTGATTTTCCCCAATTGACAGACGAGTTTGACGAGCTGCCAGGCACGGGGCAGCTGCTTAGGTGCATGTCAAATTGTCAACAATTGTCTCCTAAGCTGCCAGCATGCAATGTGGCAAATTGCAGCAGGAGCAACAGCTTCAGCCAGCGCTTCATAATGAGGCGTATCGTGCATATTTGCTTCGGTCCCACAAGCCCTCGATTCCACTACACACATGCACTCGTATGCCCGGGTGTAGGTGCTCCACTTTTGTTGCATGTATGTATGTATTGATGTATATATGTAGGTAATTGATTTCGTACAGATGTTATTACACATTTCGTCGGCAACCGTTTAATGATTGCTGATTTGTATTTAATGCAAATGTAACAAGTTGACAATTGACAAACAGTTCGGGGACCTCGAATATCGTTTGTGATGTCGGTATGTGGGGTAATTATTTCAAGTTTACCAATTCCTTTATAACTGGGCTTAAATTCTGAAGAGATTCGCCCAAAATTTGTTGACATATAATGATGATGACTTCGTCATAATGAATGGCTTCAGTGTAAATGAAAGCTGAGCGTGAACCTCAGCCTAATTTTC